CTACTCCACCATCACCATCATGCATGGGAGAATGTGAAGCGAAGACTGACGGCGCAGTACTCCCAAGTCAAGCCACTACGATCGGAGGCGACCCAACATAATTTGGGTTTTGGCTCCGATTGTCGGCGCATATACAAGAGGGCCACCCAGTTCCTGGAACGCGTCTTATCGTTCTCAGGCTAGGCTGCGCCCCTAACATCCCCTAAAAACCGCTCAATACTAAGTATGTGCTGCAGCGATCAGAAGGCTAACTCTTGTACCATGACGATGGTCGGCCAGTGCTGTGGAGACTAGAAGGGCGATGCTACCCCATCGCCAGTGACGACAAGCTTGGCATCTCTACCGACGACCAATGCCATGCTAGTCTCCATTACAAGCACCATCTTTACCTCCACCGACGAGGCTGAACGGCAGAGCGGGCGGAGTCTATGTGAAGGCGACATCACCAACACCGACGCACGGACCGATGAGGCCGTGGACTGCTGCCGGCGCCTACACACATCTACATCATCACCACCATCACAATCATGCATGGGAGAACGTGAAGCGAAGACCAATGACGACAGCGCAGCTTAATCGGAGGTGTCTCGCGGGTTTAACCCACCAGAGTAATTAACCGGGTGTTTTCCGAGACCCCGGGAACCATGAGAACACAATCGCCAAGTCAGATCCACCTCGCCGATGGGCTGTGGAGCACATTTGACTAAGGATTTTGTATTTTAGTAATTCCTTGAGAATTATAATAAAATACATTTTCCTTTGTCCATTTTATTTTTGTGTACTTAGTACACTGGCACGTCCGCACATTTTATTTTCCTGGGCGGGGAGATTCTAGCTAAAATTCTCTCCAAACAGTGGCGTACGCATGGCAACCCAGTCAGCATTTTCTTTTTTTTAAACACGGTGAGCCCACCTGTCATATATACTCTCTCCTCTTCCCCTCTCTCACTCTCTCCCTCTCCCTCTCTCTCGGCGAGTCTCTCTCCTCTTCCCCTCTCTCACTCTCTCTCCATCTCTCTTGGCGAGCACGGCACCTGGGATGCGAAGGCGGCGGCGGCGGCGGTGGCGGCGTGGGATGCGACAGTGAGGACGGCGGCACACGGTGGCCGAGACCACGATTAGCGAATTGTTCTGGAAGTGATTGTGAATCTATGATGCTAATTAAGATTAATTAAGATGTACTAGTAATTAACATGCACAAAGCCACAGTTTAATTGATTAATCAGCATTAGGCATGGGATTTCTCGTCGTCGTCTCGGCGGAGAAGCGAGCAAGCGCGCGAGCGTTCTAGCTGGTGGCGGCCCTTGAAGTACTCCGGCGGGCCGCGGCAGGCGGCATCGTCGGAGAACCGCTGCCCCGGCAGGCACTCGCAGTTGAGGTCGACGACGCAGCCGAGGACGGGGCACTTCCCGCCGCCGACGGCCTGCGGGCTGACGACCATGGGCACGTTGAAGGCTGATGCTGTACGCTGCGACGTCGCCGCCGCTCGCGCCCGCCCCCTGCGCCGCCCTGCCACGCTGCCTCGCCTCCTCAGCCGCCGCCGCCGCGCTCGCCTCGCTGCTGCCTCCGCCGTCGCTCTCTATGGAGAAGAGAGAGAGAGAGAGAGTGAGAGAGATTGGAAAAGAGAGAGAAGAGAGATAGTGATGGTAAGAAAATGACAGGTGGGACCCACCTTTTTTTTATAAATGAATTGCTGACTGGACTGCCACGTAGGATCAAAACCGTCGTGGATAGAGCAGGGGGGTTATTTGAAAGGTTTGCAAAGTTAGGAGTGAATGATGTCCGGTTTTATGGTTTAGAGGGGTAATTCGGTCGACCACGATAGTTCGGGGGGTAATTCGTACTTTTTCCAAAATTATATGCATCCACAGGGATTGGTACACATACATTATATTTTGAGGACGTAGGCGGGGTTGGGGTATGAGGATGTAAATGAAGGTGTAGCAATATTAAGGGAGACATGGATTTTTAATTAGGTTTAGGCTCCCGATATGGGTAATTACCACACTCCTATTAACCGGTGTTGCCATCAATCTCTTACAAGTACAAAGTATGTGGAAGGAAAACCTTATCTAGTCCTATAGTACTAGTCGGACTTAAGCATGAATTTGTATTTTCTTTACTTATCTGGGATTCCTTCCTATATAATATAGATCTTATCCATATGTATGAGATTTGTTTTCATAGATGACTTGATATACGGTGGTCTTGCCGAGGTAATTACATGTCAATGGGGTATCCCATATTTAGGACAATGACAATACAAATGTGTACACCGGCTACCATCTCTCAATCCTTTGGTAGTTTTCGCATCAGACATCTGCGAACCAACGTTACCAAACAAATTAGTGATCCAAAACCTGAAGCCAACGCCACCGATTGAATCATGGACAACCTGATAGACATGTGTTTCGAGGTCTTCAATGATAACCACGACAGCGAGAGAGACATCAACAAAGGGATTAAAAAAAATAGAAAAAGAGCCTAGACAATGCTAACTCCATAGACATGATGAAAGACAAACCCTAAAGTACCTAATAGATCTAAAACTGCTAAAAAAAACTAATCACATGGTAGGCTGACTTCACCAGAAGATACCTCTTGTGTTGAAATGACATGCCACAAAATCATCCATTTCTCTTTTCAGTGGATTTGCCAGGATATTCCTCCTATTTCCTTCCCAATTTTTTTTTCACTAAGGACATGTCCCAATCACCAGTGGTTGGATCAATGAGGTCTGCAACTTTGTTCAAGATTGTCGAAACTAGATTTCGGCAATAATAAAAGGGGGTGGCTATCAAGCTCGGAAAGTGTATGGGTTTGGAGACAAAAGATTTATACAGGTTCAGGCCTTCTTATAAAAGAAGTAATACCCTACTCCTGTCCGGGGATGAATCCGCCGAGTGTATTATTGATGGTATGATTCGGGAAAAATCAGCATCTACCCCTAGAGGCGCCCGGACCCCCCTTATATATGGGAAGGAGTCCGGATTACAAAAGATAATCTATATTCCTAACGGAATATGAAGATATAGGTAAAATACAATCGTAACCGACTAAGTCTCAGGGTGTTTCCTTGATATACAAGTTAAGAAACAAACCCGAGATACAGATAAGATATTCTATCTACATTAAGTATCCGGTACCCAATCCAAATACCGTCGCCATGTAGATATGGGATACCCATAATCTCCACAGTAGCCCCCGAGTCCTTTGCAGTCGACCATCGTAGCCTTCTCAAGGATGATAATCCGAGTACTTCAAACTCCTCAAGCCAAAACCTGCCGAGTGGACTGTAAAGGGCGAAAAGATAAAGAATATGGTGCATCGAATAGATGCACCTAATTAGGTGTAGCCCCCAACTATGTGATTAGTTAACAAACTAAACATATAGTTGAAAGACAAAATAATAACACAATTGTGCATCATATGACAAAAGCATACGCGGCGCCTAAATAGGCATGCTAGCCGACTGCTTTTTAGCCACAATAAAAGAAATCCGAGTGGTTTACACTCTAAAAGGTTCACGAACGAACACACTTGATAGGCATCCGAATATAAAAACTCTAAAGATTACCCATCAAGCATTATAAAGATTATGGTAATAAATAAGTCAAATAGCCTAGGCCATGACTATTTACCATGAAAACAGGCATATAACACGCCAAGGAAATGACTATAGTAAAAACAAGTCATTCCTAGTTAACCCAAACAGCTTTTGTAGCCTAAAAAAGCTCAAAAACAGCATAACGCCTTTCTGTCGGGCACCTTTTTAATTTGCATTGCAATAATTCCAAAGAATTATATGACCGCATAAAAAGGATTTGATCAGCATTGGGCAACACTGTTGTGCGCATAATATTGCCAAAGCAAAATATGCCTAAGTCCCTAAGGAACACAATGGGCCACGCTGTTAAAATTATTGGGCTGAAGTACTGTTCAGGCCTAGGCCCATTAGCACCTCCGATACCCTTAACTGAAAAAATCCGATATCCAAGCGACGCTTCGTCTTCCCCGCCGGAACTCTCGCCATTTTCCCCACTCCCCGCTACAGTGCAAAGCTGCGCCGGCGAACTAGGGTTCACAACTCCGGCCAAATCCACCTCCGAAAAGTGCATCAAAATCCTTCCCGTGATCCACCGCCTCAATCCCTCACCTCTCCCAAGCCATCCCTCAAATCAAATCAACACATTTGAGTGAAACCAATGGCGGAAGAGAGAGAAAGCTTCGAAGGTCAATGGGCGTCATCCGACGTAACAGAAGAGAATCTTAAGGAGATGGTGGCGCACGGCGTTCTCCCTGCCAAGGAGATCATCGGGTGGCGACCAGCGCACGGTGAGGCTTTCCCGTCTCCGGATACTCATGAGATTGTGGTCTTCTCGCATTTCTTCTACGGCGGCTTTGCTCTTCCGACCTCAAAATTTTTCCGCGGGATCTTGAATTTCTATGGAATCAGCTTGCATCACCTAAACCCAAATTCCATAGTGCATATCGCCAATTTCGTCCATGCTTGTGAAGCCTTTTTGGGGATCAAACCTCACTTTGCCCTATTCCGTCGGATCTTCTTCCTCAAGCCCCAACCAAACAAGAACAAACCATGTGTAGTCGGGGGGGCAGGATTCCAACTAAGGGGAACTCTGAGCCAAAAATATTTCTCAATGCCCTTCAAGACTTCGAACAAAGGATGGCATGCAAACTGGTTCTATGTTCAGAATCCTGAACCTGCTCTTCCCGGGTACTCTTGTCTTCCTCCAATGTACCAAGATACTTGGAACTCTCTTCCAATCGGAGATGAAGCAGTACAAGCCTTGGAGTTGTTGGATCGTATGTTAAATCTTAAAGAACAAGGCTTACAGGGAGAACAGATCACTCGGCATTTCATCAAATGCCGACTAGCGCCAATCAAGGAAAGATCCCGCACAGCATTCGAGTTCGACGGCAAACATGATCCCAACCGTGAAGAACCAGACTCCCTGGATTTCAAAATCATGAAGGAGAGGATGTATAAAATCTTCTCAAATGCAATTGTAGTCAGCTACTCTCATCAGCTGCCAGTAGTGCCATATAATGCGTTCAATCCGCCTCCGCAGGTATGTATCGGAAATCTTCAAACCATGATCAGAACATAATTTTGTCTTCATGCTGAATTGACTAACTATGGAAGCATCTTGTTCAGGAATATGCACTGATGAAGTCAGATCCACCAGTCACTCAGCGCCGGTCTCCTCGCCAACACACTGCTCAGGGAGGTAGAGGGCCAACGATCAGACCAGATCCGCAACCTCAGACCTCCAAATCAACTGGTCAGACGGGTCCTCGCAAGAGGAAACTGGTGCTTGATGACGATGAAGGCGACGATGATAAATCTGGGGATAAGGGCTCGCCTAATAAACCCCCAAAGCGCACCATGCCCAGGAAGAAACTGGCCGGCCGCGCAATGCTAAAAATTAGAACATCTTCCAGGTATAAGACCTCTCGGTATGATTTCACTTTGGTAAGCTCTCTCATGAAAATGATGCTAAATTCTGAAAGAATACTTTGCAGGAAACCATCTGATATAGATCCATCTGGAAAAGACCCCGATCCAGCCATGGCAGAGCAAAATATATCCAAAGACCCCGAGCCAACTGCCGAAAGCCAGCCGACTGCCAAAAGCCAGCCGACCGGCGCCCATGCTTCGGGTGACCAGGCCAATCCGAGTGACCAGCCGCCGACTGGAAACCAGTCGGCAACAACTGAAGCAGCAACAACTCAAGAGCCCCCGACTGGAAACCAGTCGGACGCAGGCCCTGATCAAGAAATCCCTGAAGTAGAAGCGCAGACGACAGCTTCCCAAGGGCCAGAAGCTGGTAATGACTCGATAGCTGGATCTCCAGGCAAAGAACAAAGATCACCTCACGCTCAGCTAGGTACATCTTCAGGTTAGTTGTCTTTTCATACAACGGCGATTTAAATAACCTCAGTGTATCCGTCTAATGTCTTGGAAACACATCAGGACCATCAGGTGATGACGGAGAAGAAATCCCTCGCATAAAGGCGACCGACGACTCTCGTCCTCCTATCTTGATTAAATGGTGGGACGAGAACTCACAAGCCGCCGGTATAGTCATAAACCGTCAAAAAGAAGATGAAGAAGTGTGCCAGCTGAAGAAAGCGCTTGGAGAGGCCACTCGTATTGTAAATGTAAGTCTTCCGAGCGACAGCCTTCGGTAACTTTGTTTTTCTTTTTAGCAGAACTGAACCATGATCCATCATGCAGAGAATCCATCTTCGCAATGAGGCCAAGACCACAACTTTGGAAAAGCTGGTTCCTCATTTGGGAACTCTTGAAGCGGTTAGGGACCAGCTACATGAGGCCAAGGAGCACGCCAAGAGGACGGAGAAGGAGTTAAGGGACCGAATCGCTCAGCTCCAGGATTCAAACTATGAGCTGAGTGGTTCATCAAAAGGTAATCCCTAGATCCGTTTTATCGGTTTAAACTGGCATAACTGTATCCTCAACCATCTGAATTTCAAACAGCGCAAGCCGCCAGGATGGAGCAGATGGCGAAGCAAATTGAAGCCCTGGAGAGAGACAAGACAGAACTGGCTGCGCAAAGGGACTCAGCCTTGAAGGAAGTTGAAGGTACCGCTAGCAGACAATCTGAGCTTCTCTCTTTATAATGCAATAAATCCTCATCATAAATGTGTTTTGTAGATCGCAAAATAAAATCGCAAGCCCAATTTGACGTCCTGGTTGGTAAGATCAAGAGGCTTGAAGGAGCAAGGGATAACGTCGCCAATGCCGCTGCACCAATTATCCAAGCCATGTTCCTCAATAATGGTGGTCCGAGTGCACTCGACGCAACCGAAATATTTGACAAGCTGAGTGTTGCTCCGGAAGTATATTTCAAAAATATCAAGAAAGCTGGAAGTATGGGAGCTGGCATGGCCTTGGCGATGACAAAATCCTTGTACCCGAGAATTGAAGTCGACACCATTGATGGATTTGCAGACGGGACAAGTGAAGAAGCTGCTCTTGATCTTATCAGTAATGCTCAGAGTGCGGCTGACAAGATTGCAAGTGATGTTGTAGAACAATTCCGCAACAACGACCTTCAGCCGAGCGATAATAACTCTGATGATGAAAGGACTGATTCTGACTAAGTGTAAATGTAATACATGGAGGCTCAATTTGTACAATACTGGCATATTTATGCTGTGCTTGATGATTCTTGCAAAGTTTTTGATTTCTTAAAAGTTTTTGCTAAGCTTTGTTGAGCCTAAAACCCAAAGAAGCTATTAAAAACTTTCAGTCCTCGCAAACTAAGTAGAAAAACCAAACAAGGCAATGATAAACCAAGTAAGCAAACTGAATTGATAAAAATCACACTCCATTATTATGATGATAGCCCCCGACTGACAACTTCAAGGAGAAAACTTGATGTTTGACAGTCAAAATAGGGAAATACAATGATAAAGTTAAGCGTAGAAACGACGAAGATGTTCAATGTTCCAAGAGTTGTCGACGAGAGTGCCGTCTTCGCGCTTGAGTCGATATGAACCTGGCCGGGTAACTTCAGAGATAATAAATGGCCCTTCCCATAGAGGAGATAACTTGTGCCGATCTCGTGTGGTTTGAATTTTCCGTAAAACCAGGTCGCCGACTAGAAAGGCACGAGATCGAACATTGCGATTATGATAACGTCGCAACCCTTGTAAGTACCGAGCTGACTGAATCAAAGCTGCTTCGCGGACCTCTTCCAGTCGGTGCAAGTCGTCCACTCGGTCTTCTTCATAGCGTTCTTCACGGAAATTACGGAAGCGCAAAGATTCGAATTCGACTTCACTCGGCAACATTGCTTCTGCCCCATAGACAAGGAAAAAAGGTGACTGGCCTGTGGCCCGACTGGGCGTAGTACGCAAAGACCAAAGTACTGATGGTAACTGTGACACCCATTTGCCGGCATAGGGTTTTAGCCGGTCAAAAACTCGAGCTTTAATCCCTTGAAGTATCATGCCGTTAGCCCTTTCGACCTGTCCATTACTCATTGGGTGTGCTACTGAGGCATAGCAAATCTTGATTCCAAAATCTTCACAAAAGTCTTTGAAAACTCCGCCGGTGAATTGTGTGCCATTATCAGTGATTATCCGATTGGGCACTCCAAATCTATGCACGATGTTGATGAAGAAATCTCGAGCATTATCTGCTGTAATCGTGACAACAGGCTTAGCTTCGATCCACTTGGAAAATTTGTCAATGGCCACGAAGAGGTGCGTATAACCGCCGACTGCCTTTTTAAACGGGCCAACCATGTCGAGCCCCCAAACCGCAAACGGCCAAGACAGCGGGATAGTTTGCAACTCTTGAGCTGGTAAGTGAATTTGTCTGGCAAAAAATTGGCAACCTTCACATGTGCGCACAATTTTGTCGGCATCGGACACTGCAGTAGGCCAGAAAAAACCCTGCCGGTAAGCTTTGCCGACAATGGTGCGCGCAGCAGCATGGTTTCCGCATATCCCAGAATGTATGTCTTTCAGCAATTGTCTCCCTTCCTCTAAAGATACGCAGCGTTGCAGAATTCCTGAAGGGCTTTTCTTGTATAGCTCAGATTCGTGCATAACATAAAGTTTGCTCCGCCTTGAAATCCGCTCGGCTTCATCTTTATCTTGAGGGAGCTCTTGAGAAGTTAAAAATCGTATGAAAGGCTCTCGCCAGTCGGCTTCAACCATAGCGATGTCATGGGTGTCCGCAACTTGAGTAGCATCTTTATGAGGTACTGTCGGCGAGTAAAGGTGTTCGACGAAAACGTCAGATGGTGCCGCCTCGCGCTTGGATCCAAAGTTTGCAAGTCTGTCGGCAGCTTCATTGTTGTGTCGAAGAACGTGACTAAGCTCGAGTCCGTCGAACTTATCCTCCAGTTTGCGTACCTCTTGTCGATATGCCATCATGTTGTCATCAATGCAGGACCACTCTTTCATAACTTGGTTGACAACCAGCTGTGAATCACCTCGGACAATCAGACGCTTTATCCCCAGAGAAATTGCAATCCGTAATCCATGAAGGAGGGCCTCATACTCGGCGACATTGTGGGACGCCGAAAAATGTATCCAAAGCACATAACTTAATCTTTCTCCAGTCGGGGAAATTAAAACCACTCCAGCTCCAGTGCCCGAAAGTCTTTTTGACCCGTCAAAATGCATGGTCCAGTGCTCCATTTTCTCCACGGGGGCTTCCTCTTGGCACTCGGTCCACTCGGCGACAAAATCAGCTAACGCTTGAGACTTGATTGAAGTACGAGGCTTGAATGATATGTCCAAAGACATCAACTCCAAAGCCCACTTAGCAATCCGCCCATTTGCTTCGCGGTTGTGCAGTACATCGCCGAGTGGAAATGATGTGACCACCGTTACCGAGTGACCTTGAAAGTAATGAGACAGCTTCCTGGTAGTAATTAAAATACCATATAACAGCTTCTGAACCTGAGGGTACCTCGTTTTGGAGTCGGCCAGGACCTCGCTGACGAAGTAGATTGGTCGCTGAACTTTCTGGACATGGCCTTCTTCCTCACGCTCGACAACCAAGACTGTGCTCACGACCTGGGAGGTGGCTGATACATACAGCAACAACGGCTCCTGCGGGTGTGGTGAAGCTAAGACCGGTGGCTTGGTGAGGAGTTGTTTGAAATCTTCGAAGGCCTTCTGTGCTTCGGGTCCCCATTGGAAATTATCTGTTTTCTTCAGTAGCTTGAAGAAGGGCATCCCCCGCTCGCCAAGTCTTGAAACGAATCGGCTGAGCGCCGCCATGCATCCAGTCAGCTTCTGAACATCTTTCTGGGTGCTTGGCGGTTTCATGTTGAGGATAGCGGTAACTTTCTCCGGGTTGGCTTGGATGCCCCTATGAGACACCATAAAACCAAGCAGCTTCCCTGACGGTACTCCGAAGGTGCACTTTTCAGGGTTTAATTTCATCCTGAAGGCGCGGATGCTCGCGAAGGTCTCTTCTAGATCCAAGATCAGATCATCCTTTTGCTTGGTCTTGACGACTACGTCATCCACATAGGCTTCAACGTTGCGGCCGATCTGTGTTGAAAAGCATCTCTGGATCATGCGCTGATAGGTTGCTCCTGCGTTTTTTAGTCCAAACGGCATGGTGACGTAGCAGTATGCCCCAAAAGGCGTGATGAATGAAGTCTTCAAGCAGTCGGATTCCTTCAGTCGGATCTGATGATACCCCGAGTAGCAATCCAAAAAACTGAGGAGCTCGCAGCCGGCGGTTGAGTCAACTACCTGGTCAATGCGAGGCAACCCGAAAGGATCTTTAGGGCAAGATTTGTTGAGGTCGGTATAATCAACACACATGCGCCATTGCCCTGTTTTCTTCCGAACTAGAACCGGGTTTGCCAGCCAGTCGGGATGAAGGACTTCTTTGATGAAGCCTGCTGCTAACAGCTTGGTTAACTCCTCCTTGATCGCGTCCTTCCTGTCTTGTGCAAATCGGCGGAGTCGTTGTTTAATAGGCTTGGCGTCTTCTTTGACATGTAAGGAGTGCTCAATCACCTCTCTGGGAATACCGGGCATATCCGAAGGTTTCCACGCAAAGATATCTTTATTATTTTGAAGAAAGGTGATGAGCGCGCTTTCCTATTTACAGTCTAACTCGGCGCCTATTACAGCAGTTTTGGTAGGATCAGAAGGATCTAAGGGAATCTTTTTAGTCGCGGCTTCGGTTTCCCCACTTTTTGAAGTCTTGGCAGCGGGCACTTCTCCTTCGCTCACCGTGGTTGCAGCCAGTCGGATTTCCTCTCGGGCAGACGCCATCTCGCGGGTTTGGGCCATGTCGCAACTCTCCTTGTCGCATGTGACGGCTTGCTTGATGTCGCTCCGTAGGGATAGGACTCCACGGGGACCAGGCATCTTCATCATCATGTAAGTGTAGTGCGGGAC